ATGAATCTTCAGGTAGAACATGGGAAGATTCACCGCCCCATTTTTTTTCTTGCTTTTTTTTTGCAAAGGGAAAACTAGGGCGCTGTCCCCGGTGCTTATGAAAATGCATTTTTTCAGCCACAGTTTCGCGAAGCTGCAGTACCCAGGGTTGGGTGCCGGTCCGCCGAAACTGCAGTACAAGATCTGTTTTTGTTTTGTTCTGTTTGGATTTTTTTTTTCATTTCTTTTGTTCTATGCTACCAGCTTGTCCGGACACCAGGGGCGAGGTCCCACAAGCTAAGAGGGTTGGATTTTAGGAGCCTGAATATGGATGTGTTTTACACAGAGATGCAGCAAAGCATTTCAATCTCTATTTCCTGCACCTATCCACAACCACGGCCAGATTCAGGCGGTAAATCCAATGATCCCCTTTGCTAGCAGGACCACACCCCAGACGTCCAGCCTGGACAACCGCAAATTTCTGGATGTCTACGAGGAAAAAGATTACAGCAAATCTCGAAGGACCAATCATTATGCAGCATTCCAAAATTTTCTCATACAAACAACTGCGAGGAACTGGGTCCTTGGCAGGCCTAAGGGGGCCCTGTTACAGAAGTGCCCGCCCTAAGTGAGGGTGGCGTAACAAATCTCGAGAGGCCCTCTGCTGTCAATTTCGTATTCGGGGTCCAGTGTTACATGCTGCGCCTGCAACAGGCTGCACGGGCCATTTTCAGGCCCGTGACGTTTTCAGGCCAAAAGCCTGAAAACAAGGGCCTACAGGCTCTGAGTCGTTTCAGCCTGAAAGCCTGAAAACAAGGGCCTACAGGCCCTGTGTCATTTCAGCCTAAATCAGGGCCTTTTCGGCCCTGAGCCTTTTCAGCCTGAAACTGAGGGCCATTTTCAGGCACTCATCAGATCGACCCGCCCTGAAACTCGGGCACCAAACCAGGGTTTTAGCACAGGCCATTTTGGGCCTGTTTTCAAGACAACCCCTGGTTGAGCTTCAACGCCAGGGTCTGGCACGTTTCGGCATTGGCAAGAGCAGCCTCCTGGACGGGCCAGCACTATACAGGACTGGCCCGCTCTGCAGGGCGGCAGGTAGTTCCTAGGTACTTCCCAGGCACTTCACGTGCAGTTCAGGAGGCAGGAGGTAGTCTTCAGGATTCGGCAGCAGCACTCTGGAGGAGCGCTGCAGGAGTAGTGGTAGCGCTAGCAGTAGTCTTCAGCGCTGGGCGCTAGTAGGAGTTAGAGTAGTACTGGAGAGAGAGAGAGAGAGATTGGGCGGAGGCCAGGGAGACTTACCTGCAGCGCCATAGCTCCAGCTCCGTCTTCGAGGTACCTGCAGCACAGCGCCAACTTCACAGGTTAGTACCTGGCACATGGGGGAGAGAGAGTTCTTCTTCTTCCTCTTCTCAGTCCACAATCTCCCTCTCACCCTCTCGCTACCTGACTTCACTGCATCAGCAGACTATGAGAGAGCGGGCTTGGTGACATTCGGATCCAGACTCGACATTGGGCTTCAGACATTTTGACGAGGGATTATTTGGGACTTGTAACAAAGACTTGGTGTTGACGACATTCCCATCTCTCCCCCTCTTCTTCGTCTGTTCCGCTCCTCTTCGTTTGTGCATGATCTGGACCTGGCGCATTCTTCCTGTGTGTAGCGCCAGGCCCCTACATTCCCATCTCTCCCCCTCTCCTTCGTCTGTTCCGCTCCTCTTCGTCTGTGCATGATCTGGACCTGGCGCATTCTTCCTGTGTGTAGTGCCAGGCCCCTTCACACCTTGTGATGAGGATGATGTATGTTTGGTCTGCGTTGCAACATTGATTGGGCTAGTCCTTAATATTCTGGCATTCTGCTGCGCTGTCTTGCACAACGTGCTAGAGGTCAGTCCCGGTCAGGTCAGGACTTGTATCTAAGTCTTCCACTGCGCTATAAAGGACCATTTTTTGTATGTATCCGAATGTACACTGCAGGTTGAGATTTCACTTGCACTGCATTGTCCATTCAGTCCCTTTTATCACATTGCGGATCCTCGGTTTTATATGTGCATCGTCCAACTGGGCATGTAACATCCAGGCAGTTGTGACGCGCCCGTTGGTCGAGGGAAACACAGGCCGAGCAGCAAAGACATTCCACGGCAGCCTTCCAGGCCTTTCCTGAAAAACAGGCCGTGGGCAAGAATCGCAGCCTCATACACAGACAGTTGGGAGGCCCAATCGAACGAGGCCCAGTAGCCGCGACAGAGGCACAGCCTCTTGGGGCCTACCGGAAGCTTCGGGGCAGAGGCCCAGGCCAGCCAGGCCGCCGGGGGAGGCAGGCTCTTTCCATATAGGAAAGAGCTTGCTGCCTGGTCGGGCATTCGGGCGCTTGTATGCTAGCGGCAGCGCTGCTGGAGCGGACGCTCGTGGGCTGCTGCTGGCGCTGAGAGGCAGGGTGCAAGCACGTGCGGTCGTGTGTGAGTGAGGGCGCTGCCCTCATAGCCCAGCCTCCATAGCTGGCTCAGCCTGGGACTTGGACTACAGTGAGGCGCAGGGGTGGTCTTCGGGTGAGCAGAGGGAAGACGGGTGTAAGTCGAGGGAGAGAGAGAAGGATGATGATGATGATGTGAGGGCACATACCTGGTATTGGCGATGGTCTGCATTGGGCGACATCTTCAAGTACTTCGTCGGCTGCTGACGTCAACAGTTGCATTGTCGATTAGTAGGCAGATTGTAGCTGTGTAGGAAGTAGGCTGGGCGCCGTGCGCCAAGTAGGGAGAAGGTCCTGGACTCTTGTGTTGGTGGTGGCGAGAGCAAGCTCTCATTGACATTGGTTTTCAGTGTTACGATTCATATCTCCATTGGTGTCATATTGGTGCAATGCTGCTTTCTGGACACTGTGATACTTTCTGGCTTTCAATGTGATCGTGCATTCTGGATCTCTCATATCGCTACTGCTCATTTTCCTTGCACAACGGTTACCCTTAAAAAAGAAAAAGAAAAGGAAAGGGTGGCGGCCTTTGGATATCATCATTGAACTAAAAAGAAAGGCCGGCGGTCTTTGGATATCATCATTGAACTGACCGGCCCCAGGCAATTCACAATGACCTTATTCTCTTCACCTGAAGGTATCTGGAGTCGAACTTGAGTCTGTATTTCAACAGGTCAGGGGTGTAGTACCCGGTGTACCAACCAACTGAGCTACGTCTTCACCCAAATAAAACGCCCGCTCATTATCGCTGCATCTGGACTGAAAGTTGTGCCAAATGCAGCTATAATGACCGGGCGTTCTATTCGGGTGAAGATGTTAGGCCTGTTGGTGATACAAACAACGTTTGACCAGGGGAGTCGTCTCCAAATGCGTTCAACCTCAAAACTTACAAAACAAAAAACACGACTTTTGGGGGAAAATTTTCAAAAAAGTTCAAATTTCTTTTTTTCTGTTCTGGACCTTGTTGGTTGCATGGGGGCCAGACATGTGGTCCCCACGGTTTATGTCAAGTGTAGAACTGTAATACCCAAAAAAAAAAAAAAAAAAACTGTAATACAAACAACTTTCAGGGAAAACACCAATTCCCAGCGAATGTCAAGTGTAGAATTGTAATACAAAAAGAAAAAAAAAGCGATTGCACAACAAAGTACAAACAAAATTTTGGTGAATTGTGTAGTATGAAGTGTGGCATCTGTTCCATACTTGCAAGCAGACGGACCGGACGAGCATCCGGTCTGGTCCACTTTGCTGCGTGCGGCACCCTCCCCCCAGACCGGACGGACCCGGACCGGACCAGACGGGGGCGTTGTTTTCTTTTTTTTGGGGGGGGGTGGGGCGTAACTGGTCGTCGGGCGCACATTCCTGCGCCGCGCGGGTCCGGTCTGGCGGTCTGCCGCACGTGCGGAACCACCCAGACGGCGTCCGCTTGCAAGTATGATCTGTTCTGGTCAGTTTAATATCTCTGATCCGTGGTCTCCATCGGGCGGCGATTTGGGTCACATGATATTAAATTAAATTTTCAGGGCTGCCAGCGGAGCCATAAGGGCAGGATTGCCTGCTCGGTCCTGCACTGCAGCGAAGCGTAACGCAGCCCATCCCTCCATCCAGGAGGAGGGGGGGGGGTGGACTTTTGGTGAATTGTATTGTATAGTAGGGCCCCGTCCAGGGATTAGGGAAATTTGCATGTGTTTTTTTTTTTTTTTTTTTTTTTTTTTTTTTTTTTTTTTTTTTTTTTTTTTTTTTTTTTTTTTTTTTTTTTTTTTTTTTTTTTTTTTTTTTTTTTTAAGACGGCCTTGAGATATCATCATTGAACTGACCGGCCCCAGGCAATTCAAAGTGATTTTATTCTGGTCATCTGATTGTAGCAGGATTTGAACTTGGGTCTGTATTTCAATAGTTCGTTCATAGGGTGTACCAAAGGCGCTACGCTACGCCGGTTGGTTGCGGAACTGCACATTATCGACAGATGACGGTGCTCAAGCAACTACAAAGAAGAGACCCCAACTTGACCAAAAAAAAAAAAAAAAAAAAAGACAGAAGACCACATGCCTTGACGCAGTTCAGATGTGAGCAATAGATAAAAACATTTAGAAAAATGTATTTTGGCCCTTGCTGCTTAACACAGTAAAGCTGCCCAGAGAACCAAAACCCTGCTCATGTGTCTGAACGGTACATCCGCGAACCGTCGATAAACAGACCTGAGTTCAAATCCAGATGATGGCAAGCCGGATATGAAAAATAGCTATGAATTTACTGGGGGGCGGTCAGTTTGATGATATCTCCAAGGCTGTCGCCCCATTTTTTGAAAAGAGCAAAAAGAGAAGGAACAAAAAGAATTCCCCAGCGAGCTGCTCTACCAAAGCACGGCCTGAGATTTCCTAGCCAACTTCGATTGCACATTCAACAATGTGGCACCGAGTCGCTTGAATAAAAAAACAAAACAAAAAAAAAAACAAAAACAAAAAAAAAAAAAAAAAAAAGGAAAAGAAAAAAAAAAGAGAAGCACTAGTACCGACATAAGCAATGACTGACAACGATCAGGCTCGGGAATCATCAGAACTCAGATTTGAAGAAAAAAGAAACAGAAAGGCGGCTAGAGGGAAAGAGCGCAGAAAAACAACAACGACAAGAACAACAACGACAAGAACAACAACAACAACAACAACAACAATAACAAAATAGACAAAAACAGAAAAAATACCTTGACAATCACCCAGGAGATCATCCATGAATCGGACCATGTGCCGTCAAGCGCACTGTGTTCACACGATCCTGCAGTTCGACCTGCGTTCATGGAACCGTCAAGAAAAGCACAGCCTTCCCCACCATCGTTCACCAGGGAAGGTCATCATGAGAGAGAGAGAGAGAGAGAGAGAGAGAGAGAGAGAGAGAGAGAGAGAGAGAGAGAGAGAGAGAGAGAGAGAGAGAGAGAGAGNAGAGAGAGAGAGAGAGAGAGAGAGAGAGAGAGAGAGAGAGAGAGAGAGAGAGAGAGAGAGAGAGAGAGAGAGAGAGAGAGAGACGAGGAGGCTATCCCAGAACTCACCCCTTCCCCTTGAGCATTCGCATGAGGCAGTGGCCCTTCGTTTTCAAACATAAGAGCTCGTGGTGCAGCAATGGCAGCAGGCGGAGTCGATAGGTGAAACTTTTGAGGGATCAAAAGAGCAGTTCATATTGCCGACCCTGTCGTCTGTGGTCAATTCGCTTCTCTGCATGACTGTGCTATCTAGAGATTATCCCATAGTACACCACCCCTGCATTGTCCGTACCGACGCCTACTCACCGTCCGCAGTCTGTGACTCTGTGCCTGGTACTGTTGCTGCTCCTTCGGCGCCAGCATTTAGTCCTGCTGCTAGTTCCATTGGCTCCATGGCAGTGGCAGCGGCGGCGGCTTCCCGAGATGACACTGGAGAGGAAGGTAGGTACATTTGCAAGAGGTGTACACCTGGAGTTCAATTGTACAGAATGGATTGGACACGGAAGAGGATGCATCGACTACGGTGACGGACCGTTCTGGTCCCCTCCAGGCTTAGCAGACTTGGCATGCACTTGCTTACCCTTTTGACTGCAGAGTCGTCTTTCCACTTGACTGCTTGTCGCCTCGGTCACTTTTCACCCGGCGCCAGGGAATTGGCGTTCCCTCGTGCCTTCACCTTACCTCCTCCCTTCGCCACCTGCTGCAGGGATTCCCTTGTGCCTTCACCTTACCTCCTTCCTTCGCCACCTGCTGCAGGACCTGATACCGCGCGATCGTTTGCCAGACTGAGGCCTCCTTGATCAACTCTTTCTCTGACTGCAGCATCTTCATCTTTTATTCCATTCCCTTGTTCGTCTTTGCTCCGGGGCCTTTTTGCCAACTTCAACCTGATGTGACAAGCGCCTCGTTGGATTCATCCCAAGTGCCTTCCTAAATCCCTCCATGTGCTCTCGGGGAGAATAGATCCAATCCCAACGACTAGCTCGACTCCCCTTTCTTAAACCCGTTTTCTTTTTCATTTTCTCCTTTTTTTTTTTTTTTTTTTCCCCTCCTCCTCGAATTCCTCCGCCTTTTAGTTTTCTTCCAATTCAATCTTGTTCGCCTCCAATTCCTTTTTTCTTTTCTCTTTCTTCCTCCTTTCTCTACTTTTCCTCCTCCTCATCCTTTCCTACGTCACCCTTTGGATCCCTGGCTGCTAGACCTGTTTTCCTCCCTATAGGTCCATGGTGTGCATGTGGCATATCGGGAAGAAACCTTAAAAAGAAAACATCGTCGACAATGTTTCCCAAGTCATTGAGAAGGTAAAAAAGACATAAAAAGGATAGTCGTTCATGACCGTCAGAAGTACAACAGCAGATCAAGGTCATGACTTTCGTTCCACATCCTACCTACCACATAGACTCTAGCCTCAAGACCTAAACTTCCTGTCCTATAATCGTTGATTCTACTTCCCTAGCCCCAACTATTTTTGCTACCACTTAGGGCTGTGAGCATCGTCAACCAAGCTAACCAGCAATTTAAGGACTGCTTGCAACGTCCTCATGAATTTTTTAACGCCGCAAACAAGATGTGTGTGGCTTAATGACAACGCTAACTCCACCGTAAAACATTGACCGGTCTTCGCCGAGTCACACGGTTGGTTGCACGCTCGTCAGGACCAGTCATTGGACTAGCCGGGTTGTTTAACAAACGCTCATCGCTCTATGCCCTTGCAGCTGCTTTGTGTCTTCACCTCCCAACTATCAACCTTATCTCATGCAACCTTCCTATTACATAGGACCCTTGACACTTGACTAGGGCTAGTACACCCCACCTAGTTTACCTCTAGAGCCCTTATCTCAAATGATAAACTTTGCATGCATAGCATGTACATGCGGATTTTCAATCCTCCCAGCGGAGAACGAGACCCTACGCACTTCGCGGACACCATGAGGAGCCTGTCCTCCAGCAGGCTATCATTATTTGTCATATGCATCAACTTTCCTACTCCTAGGCCTAATTGACATCAACAAGAATTCAATACCAAAACAATTGACCACAAGCTTTGCATATAAGGTAAAGACCCGACAAAATTCAAGATAACAAGTTTTGTTACATTTTTTCCTTTGATGCAAAGCTGCTGGTCAATTTTGTTAGTCTTGAATTCTTGTTGTTGTCAATCACGTCGAGGAGAAGGAAAGTTGGTACATGCAACGTAGTAATAACTTGTTCAAGGAAGGTTCCCCGCGGTTCTTGTGGAGTGCATTGGGTTTCATGCACCGCCAGGAAGCCTGGAAATGCAATGTAAACCCTACGTATGTCATGTTGATAATTCGAGCTGAGAGTTTTCAAGGCAGCCTACAAGGAGTGAACTAGTCCTAGTGAAGTGTTAAGGGTCTAAGTAGTAAGCAGGTTGCATAAGATAAGGTCTGGCAGCTGGCAGGCGACCACCCACAGTAGTTGCACGGGCATAGAGCGACGGGCGCTCGTTAAACAACCCGGCTAGCCCAATGACAAGTACTGGCAAGCGGGCAACAAACCGTGCGACTGAGCAAGAAACTAAGCTACGTTTTGCAATGGAGTTGGCGTTGTGATCAAGCCATGCCGTCCTGTTTGCGGCGTTAAAGAATTCCTGAAGACGTTGCTAACAGTCCTCAAACCATTGGTTGGCTTGATTGAAAACGCCAACACCCTCTCAAATCATAGAGCGGTCTCTCACTGAGTCACAGGTTTCACTGCAGAAGGCAAGGGCCAACAATACTACTATAATTCTCTATAAATGGTCTACAGTACCCAGTCATCCCCAAGAATGATCTGACTGCATGATCAGTCCCTGATGGTGGCCACCTTTGCATCCTTTGGCTTCACACCTTCCTCAAATATCTCACAACCCAAGTATAAGATCCTAGTATGCCCAAACTTACTTTCCCAAATTGATCTTGTACCAGTGCTTGCGAAGGAGACCTAAGACAATATTCAAGTGCTCTCATGCTCCTCTTGTACTTGAGATACCCGAGGAGAGTGTAAGGCCAAAGGATCTGTGCCTAAGGTCGGATCATTCTTCGGGATGACTAAGTATTATAAACCCTTTGTAAGGTCGGATCATTCTTCGGGATGACTAAGTATTATAAACCCTTTGTAAGAAAATATAAAAGTGTTGTTGTTGCCCCCGTTACTATGCAAACCGAGCATTGGGGATACAATGGTGCCCCCAACAAGATTTCAACCAGACCGCACCTTGATAAACTTCACGACATGTATTCCTCTATGAGAATAGAAAATGATCAAAGGACCAGTCTATGTCTCTTCCTGGATGATCGCCTTCTTCTTGACCTCATCGAGAGCAAGCATGATCTCCTCTGACTGTCAGATCATTATCTTTGTGTTGCCCTGCTCATGAAGCATCTCCTCCTGCATCAATTTTATGCCTTTGGCGGCAGCTTCCTCGTGGTTCCATTCAAGCGATGTAACCTTAAGCTTGAGCACACTCACATTCCCTCTCTGCCGCTTTAACTACCACTCCGGTCCATGTGGACTTCCAAATTACCTTCTCCTCACCGACACCCACTCCTACCACCCCATTTATTGTCTCAGGTGTATCATCCTTCGCATCACTTTTCCCCTTCAGCACCAGCTGACAATCCACCGGCTCTTTTTCACCCATCATCTCCCCTGATGCATTATTTTCCAATGCTCTTGCATGTTACAGCATTCACATATGTTGTGAGAGCTTCCCCTGCTACACATCCCTACACACGTTCCAACTCTTGCCCACTTTCTAACTTTGCTACTCCTTTCCTTTTCAAGAGCACATCTTTTTTCTTCTTCCCTCTTGTCGGTTTGGGGAGGATATTGACTTTCAGCTTGCTCTTCACCTCCCTCATCCACTTCAGCACCACCACCATCCTCCCCATTGGGCTCGTTGGCATCAAAGTTGTTGTCAAACTCATCGGCAACCTCCTCCTTAGTTTTATACCCATCCATCTACATCATCATCATGGAATGCATCCTGGATCCAAAATGCCTCATCAGCTTGTAGCTCCTCTTCTAAGACGACCTCCGTCAAGCGCTTGCCTCAAGTTGAGCGGGCTGGGAGTAGTTGTTGATATTAAACAGGTCTCGAGTTCAAATCCTGAATTGTGAGAGAAGGCTCGCCTCAATGGTATCAATGGGATTTCTATGGAACAAGTTTGCTTTTTTCTTTTCACATGTATTAATCAAAACTATTGAAGGCCATGACTCAAACTCTGGACTTGATTATGCAAAAATAGTAAAATACATGTGAAAAAGACAAAAGCAAACTCGTTCCATATAAATCCCATTGATACCATCGAGGCGAGCCTTCACTCACAATTGAGGATTTGAACACATGACCTGTTTAATATCAACAGCTACATAGACGTTCTATTCAGGGTTTAAATTCACAGGGTCTCCCCCAAAACCACCCACCATTAGAAGGGTCGCAATTCGTCTCTCAAAGGAGTCATATAACTATTATTATATGAACGGGGATACACATTCAGCCCGCAATCTTGACATGTGCACAGGCGACGACGGTTCTCTTCTATCCATAGCACTTTTTGTTCGACAAATATCTTACCCAAAAATGGTGGCCGCTCCAGCTCGAACGCCATCCTCCAGTCTCAGTTCCCTGCTGTACAAGTCAGTATTTGAATTCGTGACCTGCATTGATGGTAGATTCACTCTCTCTCAAATCATCCGTCACAAAGAGCCCACCAGGTCGAACGCCATCCTCAGTTCCCTGTGAAGACCAAAACAATCCATGAGTTCTTCAACCCTCGAGTCTCAGTTCCCTGCCAAGACAAAAACAAATGCAAAGTTGTCAGCACGTTAACCTTGGAGAAAGAAACTTTCCTCTCTTGATATTATTCAATTCCCTCTTGATCAGGCAAAGGGTTCTAATGAACCCAAGGCATTTGTGGACAAAATGTTTTCTCTACCGCATACAGACATTGCCGATGGGCAACACTCTTAGTTGGTTGCATGATTCGTCCTCCTCTCCCTTCCCGTCCCCTCAACAAAATTGTCCTTTTTTTTTGGAAAGACCCTAGGGCTCTACCTCTTTGCAACCTCGTTCCCTCCTCCACACAGTCATGTACTGTTCATGGATGAGGCCCGAGCGGCCACTGGGGAGCATGGACTTTTGAACAGGTTTTGCCAGTCCGTGGAGCGAAAACATATATTTTACCTGGGGTTGTGTGCTCGTCATGAAATACCAGAACCACTACCATATTTCCCGGAACGCAATGCACCCTCCTCATAGATGTATAGAAGTTATTTTCCTGCACAACATGGCAGTGTTGGGTGCTCTTCGGGGGAAGTTGGAAGACACTAAGTAATGCTTGAGCCACATAGCTTTTTCTATCATTATCTCCGGCCCGATAGTCATTAGGAGAGTGTGCTGTGTTCGGGGAAAGATGGAAGATGGTAGTAGTGCTTGAGGCAATTACTTTTCGTATATATTATGATATTATTTAGGGAAAATTTGTCTGGCGCCCCTGTATTTTGCGTTATTTCGCGTCGCCCCCCTCTGATGGCCGGTTTACCCTGTCGCGCCCCTCTGAGCAGGGTTCAAATTTTCCATAAGACCCTGGTGTCGTTTGGGCCTCAAATATTTTCGTCACACCCCTACCAGTACCGGTCCCTAATCTGCGGCATGCCCCTACCGGATGGCCGTTAAAAGCCAGCGGGAAAAGTTTCGGGATGCCCCTACCGGTACCATCCAACTTTTTAGCACGCCCTTACTGCCGTTCGAGGCGCTCCGGGGTGATCTCAAAGCCAGTTCTCTCTCTCTCTCTCTCTCTCTCTCTCTCTTTGCGCGCCAGCAATTTGCAACACCTGAACGTATATTTCCACGAACACGGGAAGATTCATTCCCTATTTGCAACTTCGAACTGAGAGAGAGAGAGAGAGAGAGAGAGAGAGAGAGAGAGAGA